TAACAATATAAGATGAGTATAACAATATAAAATATATTTATTAAAAATATAGTATATTTTTTTAAAATAAAAACAATATTAAAATTATCATAAATAAGAAATAATATTGATTTTTTTTTTAAAATAGTGATAAGCGGTAATAACACTTCATTCAGGTCTCATTCCTTTTTTCATATCAAACACATCAATGAAAAAATTTGATACAAGGCTAATGGATAAGACTGTTCTAATGGTTACCAGTTTAGCAACTAGACAAAAGGTCTCACCATAGTCAAATCCTGGAAATTAGGTCTCGCCATAGCAAACTTTTTTTCTTTTTTATTTTATTTTTTATTTTTTTTGTAATTCATCTTATGACGATCATGTTTCAGATGACAGTACAAAGGTGGAGAAACTAAAGTCATGGAACTATAGAGGGCTGGGTGGGCCCTCTACAGTTTTCCAGATAAAGGACTTCAGAAGAGTCCACCACCCAAATATTTTGTTTTTCTCAGAAACTAAAAATAAAAAAAAATCACAAAAACAGTCTGCACCAAGCTGGGTTTTGATAGTAGGTGGCATTTTGTGGAGCCTACTGGATCTAAAGGGGGTTTATTACTCTATTGGGATATGAATACTGAAGTAAACACCATAGTGGCAATGATTTTTGTATTGAAGCAGAAGTTAGAGGGCCAGGAATACAGGAGTGGGTCTGGCTAATTTTTGTGTACTTGAGCACAGAAAAGAGGCAGAGAGAATTCCAATGGGAGTATTTGGTGAACAATAAGAGTGTGTGGGGCAGCTGATGGGCCACATCAGGGGATTGGAATGATATAATTAGCAATGAGAAGAAGAGGGGGGAGTGAGAAGACCAAAAGCCAGTTTTATGGGATTCAGAGATTTTATTACAAAATGGAGATGATGGAAGTTGATCAAAAGGAAGCCTTGTTCATATGGGGGAAACAATAGAAGGGGGGATGGTTTTGTAGAAGAAAGGCCGGACAAAATTTTTACCTCTTTGGACTGGTTGTCTAGTTATCCTACTGTGGAGGCATCAAATTTTTATAGGAGTGCTTCAGATCATAATGTGCTTTTTTTTATACAAATGTGGAGAAGGAGAGGAAGAAAAAGAGATTTGTTTTTTACAGTGCTTGGGTGAAGATGGAAGGTGTCAATGAAACTGTTGAAAAAGGCTGGCAGATTGCTGTGATTCGATCAGAGATGTTCCAAATCCACCAAAAAGTGATCAATACCAGAATGCAGTTAATAGCATGGGCCAAGCCTTCACAGAGGAACAATGGGAAAAAAATACAGCTTCTAACCCAGAAGCTGGAGGAGATGAGAGAAGAGGGCAAAGATAGGGACTGGGAATCTTGGGGGCAAGTAAAACTCGATCTAGATAGAGTACACAAGGAAGAAGAACAGTTCTGGAGGTTGAAGTCTAGAGCCTTATGTTTAAAGGAATGTTATTGCAACTCTCGGTTTTTCCATGCATACACATCTCAGAGAAGAAAGGCGAATTCCATCCAGAGGCTGGTGACAGACTCAGGCTCTATTTGTGAATCAAAACCTGATTTGGAGCAACACATTTCAGAGTTCTACAATACCCTATTCACCTCTGAGAGTTCAGGAACTGGGCCAGAGTTATTACAGCATATTTCATAAGCCATTTCAGATCAAATGAACAATTGATAAGTCATATTCTTGGCATATTAATTGTCATGTATTCCATACTTTTTCGGTGTTTATTTGAGCTTATTTATTGATGTTAATAGAATTTTATAATTTATGTAGGATATCTCAGAATTTGAAATTTTATGATGATTGGAGGGCAAAAGAGAAGAATTTGAGTTAAGGCGTGGGCACGCTTATTTCCTAAAAGAGTTGGAAGAATGAAGGAGTCTTGAGTTGGAAAGAGAAATAAAAGATTGTATGGAGTTTTTATTTATTTATGGACTATTTTAATTTATTAGGATATTTTTGGAGAGAGAAGATTATTTTATATGTATTTCTTTTAGGATTAGTATTAGACTGATAATTAAATCAGACTGCTACGTATTATTTTTCTCTCTCTCTCTCCCTTTCTCTCCTATTCAGTTCGACGCTTTTATTTTTTATTTGCAATCTGGGATCGGCGATCTGCTTTGAACGCAAAGACGCATACACAGAACAAGAATTCATCTGCAATTATTTTTCTACTGTCTTTATTATTTTTGGATGAATATTATGGAGAAGACTACCATGTTTATGGATAGCTAAATTATTTTTCCAGCCAAAGGATTATTCATGATTTGGTTCTACATGATTTGTGAGATCTAATTGAGTTTTCAATTCCCTATTCTCTTTTATTCGTATGTTTCTTGTGTTTAATATCAATTGTTATTTTGATTGATTGATGCAAAAGAGCTCTTGTTCAATTATCGGAATAGCATATCGCCATTTAGGACATTAAATCTGTAATTGTTTGATTGTTCTAATATTGGTGGCGAAGAACATAGTTGATTACTAAGGGTTTCTGATTTTATGTTTAGGGAGATATATGATCTAGTCTAAATGATCCTACATGTGTGTTTGTTGGCTAGAATTGGTGATCCTTCTAGTTTTAATGCTGTTGATAGATTAAATCCTATGATCGTATCTAGGACTGTCTGTTGGTTGGAGAAATAATTAGAGATCGTATCCTGATTATTGAACAAGTAAGGAAGGATAGGTTATTAGGTCGTACCAATAACCATAACCAGTTTAATTGAGAGTAAGAGAATTATCTTTGCATCTATAATCGAATCATTGAACCATTTCTACGAATTTTTCCTTTGGTTGGATATTTTATCTCCGTGATTTACTCTCATTCAATCTGTGGACACGACCCTACTCATTGCTACTACAATTTTATATTCTAGACGAATAGAAATTTATTATTGTTGGTTTCGACACCCATCAACAATGACCTCATCAGGCTTATCAGTGATCAAGAGATTCATGACTCCGTATTTTTCATGTCCCCTGAAAAGGCACCGGGTGAAGATGGCATGTCAGCAAGTTTCTACCAACACTTCTGGCATATTCTCAAGAATGATCTGTGCAAAGCTATCAAGGGATTTTTCTCCTCTGGATACATGGCTAGAACCTAGAATCACACACTACTTACACTCATACCTAAATGCCTATTCCCTGAAAAGCTGAGAAACTACAGACCTATAAGCCTGTGTGGAACTCTGTACAAGATTATAGCCAAAGTTCTAGCTGAAAGATTGAAAGGTGTTTTGAATGACTGTATCAGCCAAGCACAGACTGCTTTTGTACCAGGCCAGTATCTCCTTGACAATGTGGTGCTAGCACATGAGGTCTTCCATTTCCTCAATAGACACATGTCTGGACAGAATGAGTTTATGGCTTTAAAACTCGACATGGAGAAAGCCTATGACCGCATTGAATGGGATTGCATTAGAAGAACCATGTGCAAAATGGGATTCCATACCAAGTTCATCAGATGGATTATGGCTTGTGTGATAACAACATCTTTCTCTTTCAACATCACTGGAGAGGTAAAGGGTTTTATTACTCCTTCCAGAGGAATCAGGCAGGGTGATCATTTATCACCCTACATTTTCATTATTGTCTCAGAGTTATTCTCTGCCATTATGCAACATGTTGTGACGAGGGGTCAGTATAGAAGAATTAAAATTTCAAAGGAAGGACCAATGCTTTCCCACCTACTCTTTGCAGATGATGCTTTGGTCTTCTGTAAAGCAGATGAACATCATGCCCACCTGGTGATGTGTCCTACAGAAATATCAAGACTTTTCTGGTCAAAAGGCGAACCTGCATAAATCATCATTATTCCTGAGTAGAAACTGTTCTGAGGAATTGCAGGGGTGCTTGAGGTCTATATTCAGATGAGTAATTATAAAGAGTCATCAAGGTATTTAGGCCTTCCTCTAGGGATAGGGGCATAAAAAAGGGAAGCTTTTCAGTTTGTCATTGAATCAGTGAGAAGTAGAATATGCAGCTAGAAAAATAAGTTCTTATCCACAGCTTGGAATGAGGTTCTAGTGAAGTCACTACTAAATGCATTACCAGTGTTTGTAATGTCTTGTTTTATACTACCTGATGGTATTTTGTAAGGAGATATGTAGCTTGATTGCTAAGTTCTGGTGGGGTAAAGGGGTGAAAAATGGCAAGAGCCTTCATTAGATGTCATGGGAGAAAATGACCAGAGCCAAACAAGAATGAGGGATAGGGTTCCAGGATATAGAGCTTTGATCTTAAAATAATTATGGAGAGTGGTGTCCCAACCTGAACTGCTGGTGAGTCAGATCCTAAAAAACAGGTACTTCCCCTCTCAACCTGTTTTTGATTATCAGAGAAGCAGTGGAGTCTCATGGCTGTGGAGCTCCTTAGCTAAACTACTACCCTATCTGAGGAAGAATATAGTTAGAACAATCAAGAATGAGGAATCAAAAAGGATAAATGAAGTGAACTGGGTTCCTGAAATCAAAGACATGAAACCTGAGCTCAAGTGCAAGTGGAGGGGAATGACTTCTGGGTAAAAGACCTGCTAATAGCTGGTGGAACTAGATGTGACACAGGTCTGGTGAAAGCTCTTTTCAAACAGGATGATGCTGAAAAAATTCTAAATATTTCTTCTTTCAATCAGTTGGCTGATGATGTGTGGAAATGTCCTTTTGTGGACAAAGGCATTTTCTCAGTGACGACTGCTTATGCTAAAATGATGACAGAAAAGGGGAATGTGAATGGAAGAGAAGAAAGCAGCAATTCAGCAGAAAAAAGCAAGAAAGCTAGATTGAGATGCTGAAGACTTAAGATGCTTGGGAAAGTAAAACACTTTGTGTGGAGGTGTTTTTCAAATATTTTTCCTGTCAGTTGCAACATAAAAAAAAGAGAGGCATGGATATTGATACAGTGTGCCAGGTGTGTGGTGATGCAGCAGAATCACTGGAACATGCCCTCTTTCTATGTTCCAGAGCAAAACAGACTTGGAAACTTGCACCTGTGCAATGGAACAAGCTACCTGATGAGCAGAGTTCTTTCCAAGACTGGTGGTGGTGGGTGAGCACGATGAACACCAAAGACATCTCAGAGGACCGGATTCAGCTATCCACATTGAAGTGAATAAGATTTCACCCGGGCTCCTTCAACTCGAACGGCCACCGGACCTGCAAGAACCCAACGTCGGGAGGGGTCCCGGCGTCGGGCCCCGACACTTAAGTCAGTATCACTCTAAATCCCAAGAGTATAATTATGAATGTAGAGAGAGTGAGTGAATGAGATACCTTAGCCCCATTTTATAGGGGGCATGTACCTTATGGCCCAAGTTGGGCTTGTCGAATAGCCTCATGCCACATGTCCTAGCCATGTGTCGGCTTATTCTTCAATATATCCCTTTTTTATCCATTAAGACTGGTCTAGTATATAATATCCTATATCATCTAGTCCCCCCCACTCTGGTCGAGTAAACATGACTCGATCCAAGAGTGAAATTCCTCTTCGGGCTATTTCCGTCAACCTGCCACTGAGGTTATAATTTGAATAAATCATCGACCACCAAATAGTTATCAAACCTCCAAATGAGCATCGGGACCCCAAATGAACACCGAATGACCACTAAGGTCAAAAACCGAAAGGCCCACCACTGAGGTCGAATACCGAAGGACCTGCCTCTGAGGTCGAATACCGAAAGACCTACCTCTAAGGTCGAATACCGAAAGACCTGCCTCTGGGGTCGAATACCGAGAGACCCGCCGCTGGGGTCGAACACCGAAAGCTAAACGACCACTGGGGTCGAAAACCGAGAGATCAACCATTGGGGTCGAATACCGAAAGCTGAACGACCACTGAGGTCGAAAACCGAGAGACCCACCACTGGGGTCGAACACCGAAAGTTGAACGATCACTGAGGTCGAAAACCGAATGACCCGCCACTAGGGTCAAAAGTTGAACGATCACTAAGGTCGAAAATCAAAAACCGAAGTCTTGAATTTAAAAATTTGAACTTACGTCTTGTTGTTTTTCGAACACCATGTTCAAGCTCTCTTCATTCAAAGATAAACCTTTCCTACCACCTCCTCCTATCATCGCCCCCTCAGTTCAAAATTTGAAATTCAACCCTGTTATTTATCCTCTTGAAAACCGGATGTCCTGACACCACACCGAAGTCGAAAGCCGAATTTCGACAAAACCAAATAAAATCATCAACCTGAATAACTTGGCTCCGTGAACTGCTCCGAGTGAAATCCCTCGACCTGCCACTGAGGTTGAAAAATAAATTCGACTAGACCAAACCAAGCGAAAACCATCAACCTGCTCGTGTCGTAATTAATGCCCTCTATCTTCCATTGAGGTCGAAAAATAAATTCGACAAAACCATAATCAAATAAAAAGCAATCAACCTGCTCGGTCAATAATGAATACCCTCAACCTGCTACCGAAGTCGAAAGATAATTTCGACAAGGCCAAACCGATCAAAAACCATCAACCTGCTCGAACAATAATTAATACTATCGACCTACCACTGCTCGAGCAAAAATGAATATCACAAAACCAGAATCAAGTAAACCATCGTCCTGCCACCGAGGTCTACACGAGCTATCCATAATGAACTCCATCTACCTTCTCTTGAAGTCGAAAAATAAATTCGACGAAAC